AGTTGGAAGACGCGCCAGCAGCACTTTATAGGTCTGCTGTATTGGACCACTTTGCATTTAGAGTGACCTACGATGACGGCGGAAAGAAAGTTGTGGATAAAAGTGCAACAGTGTGCAAGCATTGTGCAACACGTTTTGTTTATGCTAACAGCAACATGACCAACATGTCAGGCTAACCCCGAAATCCCACATACTCCATCAGCGCTCCGTGCCGCCCCGCTACGCTTCAGACCGCCTGCACAAAGCAAAGCCTACAGCCTCCACTGTGGCTCCCGTCCGCTCCCCTCTGAGTCCCTTGGAGATCGTAGAGAGCATGCGCGAGATGATTAAATTCAAAGCAGCAAAACATGTGGAAATGATCTAGGGTTTCCGTGGATAATTAAAAATAATTACAATTAATTAATTAATTTGAATTTTTTTCATTCATTTTTATAATTTTTTTATTTTTCGGTGTAACAATAAACATATACCTAACCGAACTGAAAACCGTGACCACGAAACCGTGAACCGAACCATGGATTTTGTGAACCGTTCCAGCCCTAATATATATATATATATATATAAAATCAGACAGAAGCTTGTGAATCAAACTTAGTTCCAAATACTCAGACTTAAATGTAACAGGTGTTATACAACTATATCATTCCTTTTGGGTCATAAAACATTATCTAACAAAATAACCCTACAAATAGAACAAGAATACACAGAATTAATCAGTAGCTCTGTGCATAACTTGTGGTTCATGCTAGAAGCAACATGCCCTGTTCCCTCAGTTAAGGACTGGCCAGAGGGTGTTGATTGAAAGTGCAAGGATTAGAGACAGGTAGTGATTTTAAAAAGCCAGACTTTGCACTAGGACTGTGGTTATGGAGGATTCGGGGTTATAAACTCCGAAACTAAAACTTCAGACCACAGAAGAAATACAAGTATTTAAGAAAATCTTTTAATAGTAAACCATCCAAATATAAAGAAGGAAACACAGGAGCAAGAGACAAGTAAAAAAAAGAATGTATCATTTTAAACAGTGTTAAAAAAAGTCCAAGTTTGCCACAATATTACAACTTTTGTTGCAAATAATTTTTTTAGACAGCGCAGTCACCACACCATCAAACATCAAGCATCTATCCGTTTGCTGATTCCTGTTGCCTGTTCAATTGATCCTGGCTGAATTTTTTTCATTTTTATATACAGTTACGGCACCGATGTAATATTAAAATCATTACCGGTGGGTTTTTTTTTTTTTTTTTTTTTTTTTTTGCTGCACTAGTGGCTCGATTTTTCGACAGCAGGCTGACAGGAAAGGGTGTATAAGAGAAACATGAGGGAAAGGATCACAAGCCGGATTCAAACCCGTATCAGCTGCATCGAGGACTAAGGCCTCCGTACATGGGTCGTGCGCACTAACCGCTGCACCACATGCACTCCCGTCATCAGCAGTATTTCCACCACAATTCGCCCAGTACCACTAGAGGCCTGGAGCTGCAGCTTGAGGTTTGCATCCAGTGGTGATTCTACCTGTCCAGTATCCAGTAGCAGGAGCTGCAGTACTGCGGAAGGAGGTGAATTTGTTCGTTAATTTGCTCCTGAACGCTCCTCTACTTAAAGCCGTAGGGACACGACTGTTCCAACCATTTTTCCCCGAGTGGTGCACGACTTTACATGAGTGAATAAAGTGAATGTGATTGGTCTTTTATCAAGGGGGCGGGATGGTTGTGGCGGAAGATTCGCAAGAAAGTTTGATTGTTGCCGGTTTCTCGGAAGCATCTAGCTAACCAGTTAGTAGGTTCCCAATTACCCCATATACCCTACCCTTGAAAAACCGATACATGCCGAGACCGGCCGAGCTCGGATCAGTTAACCAGGCCGAGCTCGGTTCTGACGACCGTTTACACATCACGCTATCTCGGTTCCTCGACTCCTCGTGACGATCTGCGGTATTACTGCCAGTACTGAAGGAGGAAATCAAGCAGTTGGTGGCGGTAATGCCCCAAAAGCTGTTTGCCAACTGCCATAAAACAAAAGAAGAAGAGGATTTCGAGAAGATTTCGATTGTTGTTTATAATTGTTGTTGTTCTTCTGTTTTGTGTTGATTGGCAAGCAACTTCCGAAGGGGCATTTCCGCCAACTACTGGAATGGAGTGTGAATCGGGATGTGCAGCCAGATGGAGATGACGCGTTCTGCTCATGCGCTCTTGTTATCAGAGAACCGAGCCAGGGAAAAACCGAGCCGACTCCACCTCTGGAACTGGTCTGCAGTTAGGGCGGTCCGGTTGTGTCTAGCTCGGTTCAGTTTAGTTTGCTTTCCATTTACACACGATAAGTTATCTCAGTTACTGAGCTCGGACCGGTCTCGGCACGGTTTTTCAAGGGTAGTGTAAATGGGGTATATGGGAAATTGGGACCAAGTAGCACTAAATTAGTGACTTAGAAACGACACTGTCAAGGAACGCTATGGACAGCGGAAACATGCAAGAGGAGGAGAGTTGCATGCAAGTGTCGAAGGTCGTGGATGAGTCTCCTCTGTCTTACATCTTTTATTTAGAGGGAGGAAAGTGAGGACGAAGTTATTGTGAAAAAGGACACCAGGGCAGCAGAAGCTTGGTTTGGTGTAGAGGGCTTACAGCTGTACATGTTTGAGCCCTTGCCTCGCAACGCTGCCAGTTCTGTTAGCACTACGGCCTGCTGAAGACACAGACGTCCATCCCTGTGAACACTGGGACGGAACTCAATGGGAAAGTAATAAAGAATAAATTATTCTAATTTCTTATTTCAAACGTTGTGTATATTAGTTGCGACATGAATCAAGATGCTATGACCAAAAAAAAATTGTTTGACAGATGACCGTTGATATGTGATTGGCTGAATTTAGGTGTTCAGGCCGACGTATAACTAACTGGCCTGCATAAGATCACTAAAAAAAAACAATACAAATTTTAAAACAGGGGACAATATAGTCATACATGTTTAACCCCGAATGATTTGACATTTAAAAATGACTTCCCTACGACTTTAAAGATGTACGTTCACACCGCACACGATTCCAGCAGCAAAAAAGCTTTTGCGACTTCATTTTTGATGCTTTTCTATATTAAAGCCAGACGTGCCTCATGAGCACCTTTGAGGCTCCTGAGGCGCATCCAGTAAAGTGTCCAAATTCCTCTGATGCTTCTGCTGCTTTTGTGTTCAATGCCAGAGAGCGGCTTTGCTATATTTGCTTAAATATAGTTTTAATTTACTTTAATACAAGAAAATCCACATCAAAACATAATCTGACCAGTCAGTTCATCAAGATTACAATCTGCCTTCAAATATAATTTCACTGTTGGAGCCGCTCAGACCCTCACATGCGGTGGCGCTCTGTCACTGGGAATCCCGAGCAGCAGCTGCCTCAGGCCCCATCGCCTCTTGGAGTTTTTTCTTCCTCTACTGTTCGTTGCGGCTGGAAGTAGATGTTAGCAGCATCTGCTGCCTATGAAACGCATCACATGCTTCAGCTGCTCTGATGCATCAAGATGCGCTGCTCCTGCTGCCCGAGATGCGCTGCAGGACCTTTTCATGCGCATCAACCTTTGACTTTGCATGTAAACCAGATGCTTCTGCAGCTGCAATCGCCAGCAGTGTAAAAGTAGCTTGACTCTGAAATAGCCTCGTAACCCTTCCCATTTTAAATTATCTGAATTACCAGCTTTCTCACTTGTTTCTGAATATCTTTGGATCTTAGCATGATGTGTAGCTTTAAAGGATCTTTTGGTGTAGTTCCTTTAGTGAGGCAGGTGTGGAAGAGAAAGTGAACTCAGTCTTGGTAAACCCAATGTCTGATTTAATGGGATTAACTTCATGTAGGATTGGATTTTTGTTCCTTGGCAACATACGTGATAGTCAGTCTTACATCTACTACTTTTAGTGTTTATCGGCAAGGATTTGCATTTCAACTCTGTTATTGTCTTCAAAATCCAACACAGAACAGTGTTTTTAGGAATTAGGGATTTGAGCATCGACAAGCAGGAAACTGGAAAGCCGTCACCTTGGAGATCAAATCCCGCTACATTCACAGTTACTGGAAATCAAATGCTACATTTCTACATTCATACAAAAAATGTTAGGTCTTTGTACGTGGAAAGATTATTACGCTAGGAGAGAGGCGGCTCAAGTAATGTACCATTGCCTCAGAGGTTGGAAGCAGTGAAACAGAAAGTTTTGATTTCTTTTAAAAATGAAATCAAGATGTTATAGGACAAAAATCCAGAGGGAGACCTGGGCAAAGCTGGAGATTCTCAAGGAGGTTTGGATCCTTATTCCCAACCTATCCCTTAAAGCAGTCCTGTAAGCATAAGATCACGCAGCATCTGTGAGAGGAGGACGTGAAGAATAACAACATTTAAAGGCCTCACATTTGCCTCTGTGGGGTTGGTGAGGGAGCACCAAATAAGGGGGCATGAAAAGTGAAAAAAGCTCTAGTCCCTGACATTATCTGACAAGTTCAAAATCTAAATCCTCTTCAAACTTTATGGGATGGAGGGCAAGTTACACAGAGGGGTTTCAGATTGAGGGTTAAAACAATCCGTTACAAATTAAACAACATTCCCACCGAAATAACGCTTGTTTAGGTTGCATACATTTTTTTTTTCAAGTAAGTAAAATCCTTTCAGACCTCTGTTTCTTTTACGACTATGAGCTTAAACTTTCAATTGTTCATTTCAATTAGAAATACTTTTCTTTTACTGTTCTTATCTCTATAGGTAGTCATACTGCCTCTATTTTTCATCTCCAGCTGCAGGAGGGTACATATTACAGTCTGAAAATCAAAGCTCTGTGGTACACACTGAAAGGCTATTTGAATTTTATTAGGAAGTTGGACTTTTATGGGTAAAACCTCAGCCAATTACCAAGACCAGAAACCCTTTGAAGGCCACCTTTCACCCCTGGGAGCTTAAGATGCCAATAAAATTTCTTTTTCCAAACACAAGCACACCATCACACTTCTAGACAGCAGCACTCACCTGTACAGTAGAGCTGATTTCAGCAGCAAACCCTCCTGTAACCGGTGCTTCGTGACTGATGAGCAAACGGCCGGTTTTCACCACCGACTGGAAGCAAGAGAGACAAATGAATGGAAATTAATTATAGAAGTCTCTACCTCATATGAAAAAGCCCCCTTCTTATCATCTCATACATGCAAAGCAATGATAAGGTCATTTTTCACTTAAACATACAGATCTTTTTCCAGTCAGTGCCAGTATCAGGTCATGGTAACCAAAACAATCATTGATGCCGATACCTCGATTAAGAGAAAAGGAGACCAAGTTGGCCATTTCACAAACAAATTGTATTATCTAAATCATACTATATCCAAAAAATAAATGAAAATAAAGATTGCAACAAAGCTGCAATCTTTTTGAGGTTTGTCCCGTATTATAAATAATGTTGGATTTGTAAATGGAGATGCTTTTACTCGAAACTCAAGTTTAAGGACATTAAATAACCACATGAGTAATTCTGGACGAGGCCGGAATCATCCAAAACTTTACTTGGCTGTGTAACAAGTATTGGAAATCCTTATAGAGAAATTTCTAATTAGGAGTTAAAAGAAAACTATCTCAAATGTACATTTCTACTCCAAAGTGTTTGTTATTACGATTGTAAGCGATTGCCTGAAGAAGTGTCCATAGTTGCGACTTTGAAGGTAGTACACAGCTGTTAACATGTAGGGGGTGTTCACACATTTCTCTCTGTGGCATTCTATATCTGTCAACTTCCCTCAAGGGATGCTTGTGTTGTGCTGAGTGTGTTATTGCAAGCAAAAACTTAACATGACACAACACGATGTGCTGAGCTGCTGATTAAGGCTGGTACACGGGGCCAACTGGACATAAGAGCTTTCCACCTCCCAAGCATTTGTATATGGGTTTTCTGTAACCTGAAATTACTGCAGAGGGATGCCTCCGCCCTACCCGTTATCTACCACAGCATAAAACCAATACTATACTATAATCTTATCCAGTGGCTACTAGTCCAAACCAAAGCTATGTCTGTTCTCTGCAGCTTCAGCAAACCTTTTCTCTACTCTACTCAGCTGGACTAGCTGGATTTATTTTAGCAAAAATCTTAAAAAAAAAAAAAAAAAGTGTGCCATGCTGATTATATCAAATATACACACACATATTTATATACTAGGCCTGGGCAATTCATAAAAATGCAATTTTCAAATCACAGAGGCATTCATTTTAGCCACATTACTTTTAACAATAGTGAGTGACAAAATTTCTCCTTCCAGCCACTTAGGTGAGAGTAATACACTTAAAGTGGGTTTTCCACCAAGTAGAAGGGAAGAGAGCTAACACTAAAATACATTCATAATAGCAGAACTTTTTCACACAAAAGTTACCGTAAAGTCGTAAATTCGTATATATGCAGTGAAACATATAGATATATATTAAAAGTTTATTCTTGTTATTTAAGGTAAATGGTAAAGTTTATGTGTAAAAGAGAAAATTTAATTAAGCTCAGAAAAAACTTTCTGATATAAAACAGAACTTTTCTTTCCAATGTTGTTTTTGTAACCTAATAAAAGACACCAGATCATTAATCTAAGCTTAGAAACCTGTGCATTCATAACCTTATTAAATAGAGGAAGGAATAATGAAGCCAATTCAGTCATTAAAAAAATAAATATAAGTCTAGGTCTATAATTGTGTTTTGTTGAAAACCAGTTGCGATCACACAAGGTGTCTTTGTTTTCCCTCTTAATTGCCTACAGCTGTCAGCTTTCACTAAAACCATCCCAAATCGTTTAAGGAAACCATCCTATAGATTCTCTCCAAAACTTAATGAAGAAATTTTCTAGTTAAAGAAGTTGCATTTTACATCAGTGATACTTACTGCACAAATGATGAGGATTCACACCTGAGAATCACTGAACAAATGATAGAGCAACAAAAACAGGCCTAAAATTGCCCGTAAACAATGTAGGCTTTGCAAAATAGATCAAAATGTGGGATATAAAGTAACAGAGCCTGGAAATCCGCCTCTAAAATGTATAAAACTGGCTTGATAAGATTTTCAAGGCTTGAAACTCTGAAACACCTGGAGAAGACCCTGGGAAATGCTAGATGTAGCCCCCCCCCCACACACACACACACACAGGGCCGAAAGCCTTGCTACAGCGGAAATAAGGCAGATGAGAGACCTTTATTTGGGAGAGGAGAAGGATTTGGAGAGAAGCTTAGTGTCTAGTGGACCTTGAGACAAGAGAATGGGGGCCTCTCCTACGAAAGAACTGTTCACTGGGAACGAAATGTGGATGAAAACAATGTGGTGGTCTCAAAGAGGCAACAAAAGAAGCAATTGCTGGCTCAAAGGTTCTGCAGGGCTGAAAAATAGGATTTAATAGTAGATCAGAAAGTTAAATTCGTTCAAAACAGTTATCCTCTTCCTAAGACCGGCTTGGAGGAGAAATACAGAGATGATGAGACACAGAAACTGTGTCCTTTACCGATGGCAGCAGGAAGCTGTATAAAAGTGAAGCCCAGTCGGCGTATGTGTTAAAAAAATGGACGACCTGTGTGAAAGCAGATAGTGAAGTCAGGCTGAAGGTCCTAGTGGGCACAGGATGGGAATAACTGTACAGGATATCATACAGTCTGGGAATTCTGGGAAATGCTGTCCCTTATAACTAAACAGACACACAGGTCCCCTTGTTGCTGTATGGTCCTTTTAGCTCCAATCTAAAGGGGAGGCTCGCCTATCCCCCTCATTCTGTTAATATATCTGTTCATATTTCCAAGGGTCTATGCCGCGGAGTAGCCTTTCATTTTGTGTAAAAACTCCAGTAAGCCGTATCCAAAGCCCAGCTGGCTTATGCAGATTCTCTGGAGTAGGATAAATCGGTGTGAGTGGCTGGGCTGTTCACAGCTGGCTGTCTAACCATTGGCTGATTTGACACAGGAATGGCTGAGGGTTAAATAGGGTCAAAGATAGCAGGTTGATCTAGATAGAAGTCCTTGGATCAGGTGCTAAAGAGTTAAACCATAGTGAGCCATTTAAATTTAGGTGAGCAACCACCACAGGCTTCTCCATTCCTCAAAGGTCCCAAACCAAATTGCTATTGTAAGTATATAAGCTGCTGAGAACAGGCATCAGATATAGAATTGGTAGTTAAGTGGGACTTCCACTTAGAACTGGTTAGAACTGGATTACTAAAGTCAACATCCTTTATGCAAAACATTGGGGGTATCTGAGGTGCAGAAAGATTCTTGATAGTGAAATTGACTGTCAAACGCATCTCCTGCCAAGCCTGCATATTAAGCAACTCAACCCCATCAGGAGGTGAAAGAGTTCAACCGAAAACTCTTATCATATGACACCATCTTCAGGAATGTGAAAGTTAATAACAGTGAAAGACAATGACAACAAATGACAATCTGTTCAGTGAGGAGGAATCAAGCAGGGAGCTGCGAGTTGGGCGATGTTGTGATATGACATGCTGCTGTAAAGTTTGCCTCAGCTCTATGACTCATAAGAGTCAGGTCCATAAACAGCAACTTTCCAGTCTTCCTACTCCACCCTAATGATGAACCCGATCTCCATCTTAGGCAAAAGTGTACACAAAAGCTGTTGACATCCAGCTTACACTGAGACACGAGCACTGCCAGCATGTCTCTGTGGGTCCACTCCCTGAGGAGACATCCTTCATCGCTGCATGAGAGCAATCTTCAGATGCTTTTCTTTCATACTGCAGGGCAGCGTTTAGCGAACCGTGACCCAGAACCATTTAAACACATTGCAGATTTAGTTAGAAATCAATCCTGATCAAATCAAGATGACGGTTTCTGACGGGAAATGAAGCCAGCATCACTCAATATTAAAAGAGAAAAACAGCAAATAGCATGTTGATAAATATTAACTAACATCCTCATAATCCAAAGGGAAATCTTTATGGCTATACAGCAACCAGCGGCTTCTCATGATTGGTGAACAGCCTTTTGCATGTTTCCACAGGTATTGTCATCATTTATCTTGAGTGATGAGTATGATGCCTTCGAGGTTGGAAGGCATCCTTACAATCACAGGGGTATGGAAAAAAAATTGACTGCATACTGAAAGGTATTTAAGTTTAAATATGGAAAAACCTTTAAAAACAACTTGTTTTAAACACAATCTTGATGACTAAAGCTTTATTTATACTACCCTTTTGAAACCGTGCTGAGGTCGGTCCGAACAAGGTAACCAAGAAAACTGTTGAGTGTAAATGGCACACACAACTGATCCGGACCGCGCCGGACACAACTGAACCACACTAAAGGGCTGGTTATGGTTATGTTCCCCTCAGCAGTGTCGCAGTGAGCTTGTCGCAGATATTTTTTATATATGCCCAATACTGAAGCGTGGTCTACGCTATGTTATTCCACACCACAACGCAAGAGGGACAATCAAGAACTAGCTGTGGGTCTAGAGACCGCCGAGGCGGTGAGGAAGTGGAAAACGTAAGGGGTATGTTTTTATGACAATGGAGGGACATGAGGGCAAAAGAGAGCTGGAATCCAGGTGGAAACAGTGTTCTCGCGCACCTCGCTCTTCTAACTGGTCCAACTTCACACAATGGCGGTCATACAGATAAAACACGCCGGAAGGTACCAAACGGGAAATACGCATAGTGTAGAGCGGTTGTAGATTTGACCAATCAGAGGCCTCCACTCTGCGGTGACCTACAATTTTGGAGAGGTGCAGCATAGTGTCTGCGGAAGGGGTGGGGGCATATCTGCGTTAACTGCGAAACACATGCAGACGACCTGTAGTATAAACCAGCCCTAACATGGTAATAGTTCATCAGTAGGGCTCAGCACGGTTCAGTTCAGGCTCGGTTCTCTGATAACAAAGAGCGCATGAGAGACTGCGTCATCTCTTTACAGTCAGCCTCAGGAAATTGCAGACATTCATAAAAATACAAGCTTCCCTACCATGCCACACAATTTCCAGTGATGATTCTGCTTAGCATTGTGATGAACCTCAACATCTGTCGTTGTTTCCTGTGTCTGTAAGCCCTGATTAGACTATCGTTTGTCGTATCCACTTCCCAAAAGCTGAATAT